CCTGCAGTTACAGTTAAAGCTGCTGCTCTCTCACCTAATGAAGCTTCCCTAGATTTAACTCTTTCCCAAGCTTTATTTTCTAATATTTGGTCAGCTTTGTGTCTGTCTTCTAAAGATTTGAATTGCGAGTACGCTATATCGTGTTGTTTACATGCAGCATCTAAAGGATTAATGCCTGCATCTCCACGTGCAAGACGTTTTTGTAGTTTTGTACCAGGTCCACAATATTGATACCCGGGGAGATGTAGCTCAAAAGGTAATTTATTAATGAGACTATTTACTAGACCTTCACCCTGATACAACAACATTAAGAATAAGAATGATAAGTTTACATAACAACATCTCCATTTAAACATATTATTTTACAATTAACTATCACAAGATGAAGGTTGTTCAGCAAGAGCAGACGCTACCAATAGAAAACCTAGATTTTCAAACGCGACAGGTTTTGAGTAAACATGGTAAATTATTACCAAACTCGTTTCGCGCTATCATATGTGGACCAAGTGGATGTGGAAAAACAAACGTGATGCTTTCGCTACTTTTCAATCCAAATGAAGCGAAATTTAAAAATGTCTATGTTTATTCGAAATCGCTATATCAACCGAAATATCAGTTGCTTCAAAACGTCTTAGAACAAGTCAGAGGTGTGGGGTATTTTCCATTTAAAGATAACGAAGAAATCATTAGTCCCAATGATGCTAAACAAAATTCAATTTTTATATTCGATGATGTTGCTTGTGATGGTCAACAGAAAATTCGAGAATATTATGCTATGTGTAGGCATAAGGATATTGACGCATCATATCTTTGTCAGACATATTCAAAAATTCCAAAACAATTAATAAGAGATAATTGTAATGTAATTGTATTATTTAAACAAGATGAAATTAATCTAAAGCACGTATTCGATGAACATGTCTCACCTGATATGATATTTGATGAGTTTAAACATATATGTTCCCAATGTTGGTCAGAAAATTATGGAACTCTAGTAATTGTAAAAGATTTTCCGCTTAACAATGGTAGGTATCGTATGGGTTTTGATAAGTATATAATGATGTAATCTCAGACATCATCATTATTAATCATCAATATGTCCGATGATCGAGTTGCAAATGCTCTGCGTAAGAAAAAAGTTTCTGAGCTTGCAAGAGCTATTCGACAAAAATATTTAGCATTAAAGCTAGGTAGATCGGAACAAGATGAAACAGTACGTAAACTATTTAAACCAATTTCATCACCACTTATAGAGATTGTAAAATCTTCAAAATCTTTAAATCAGTCCTTAACAAATTCAAAAGTTAAAAAAGAAGAGAAACCTGATATTAAGGAACTTTTTCAAACAGGTGTTAAAGATGTACCTGAAACTAATGATGATGATGTTTTTCATGAAAGTGAACATGAAACACAACAACAACAACAACAACAACAACAACAACAACAACAACAACAACAACAACAACAACAACAACAACAACAACAACAACAACAACAACAACAACAAGAACAACACTTAGGGAGTACGAGTGAAAGTGAAGAAGCGATTAGAGAATATATAGCTCAATATCCTGAACTTACTCAAAAATATATTAAAGATTTCTTTAAAGGTGGTAGTAAAATTGATACTCGATATGGTCCAGCATATGATCCAGAATTTGAATTCACGCTTGGAAAAAGACGGATTAATTTCAGCAAAACAACTGGTAACATTCAAGTTTTAAACGATGATGGAACAATATTGTTCAATATTCCAGATAGTAATACAACAGGTGTATACCAACTGCTGTTTTACGATGAGCCTAAATTTGCTTCTGATGATTTAGTTGCGTACAAAAAGTTATTAGAAACTACTGGTGCTCATAAGGATATAACTGACCGGATGAAGGGTTCACAAAAAACTAAATATTTAAATATTATAAAACCATTGTTTTCAAAAACTAAAAATGCATCTTCATCAACCTCATCAAAAAAACCTTCAGGAAAAGGACTTCCTTATGATAATAGCTTAATTTACAATCAGAAGCCGGTAGAATATATTTTTTGGGATGACGTTAATGAACTAATCGATCGTTTAAGGTTGTTAATAGCATCGAAAGATGCAGGAAATACTTCTCACAATAACGAAATAGTTGCCATCATCAATGAGTTAAAAGAAGCTAACATTATCCAATAAAAACAGAATGCTGTATTAACAGTTACACATTAACATTATGAGTCTCGACAAATTCGGACGTGCATCAGAAGTACGTAAATCTCGTAACTTAGTTGCGTCTGCTAGCATTGGTTTAGCGCACACTCCTGATGGAGATATTGATATTGAAAATTTAAAAGTTTGCAACGTAAAGACACCTACTTTAAATACTGATGCTGTTAATAAAGGATATGTTGATCAACATCTTAGAAATGTCAGCAATGAGGTAATTAACAATAAACAAATATTATCACAACATGAGAAACAAATTAAACTACATGGTAATGATGTAAACGGTTTAACTAAACAATTACATGATCTAAAAGAGGAGCTACATACAACAAAATTTCCTACTTTCGAAAAACATCTTAATGAAATAAATGAATTTATTTCAAGAAATCCTCCTACCGCCTCCAAACATATGGCGACAAAAAAGTATGTGGATGATGTGATTGTAATAACAAAAAAATTTATTAGAGCTGATTTAAAAAAGGAAGTGACTATGTTCACAGATGAATTAAATGATAAAATAAAAACTAGTAATGTTAACTTGACGCAACTAAATATACTATATCAAAACCATATTGACGACATTAATAGAAAATTTGATATTTTATATAAGAAAGATTTTAAACAACTTCATGATGATTTAACGACACAAATTAATAATTTAAAATCATTGGTGATGATGCCCAAAGAAAATTTGATGCACACCGAATTTTAACATTTTAAATGTGTTTGATTTAATCAATGTTAAATACTACATAAAAAACTAATATCGCTTATTCATCATCATGACTTCGAAAGAAAAGATTCAGCTTGTTAATGAATTACATAAACCAGCTCGAAAAAATTATCTTAGGCGACGTACAATAATTAAAGGTTTAGATGACTTATGGCAAATGGATTTAGCTGAAATGAGATTGTATTCACATCAGAACAGAGGTTTTAAAATGATTATGGTAGTAATCGATTGTTTTTCAAAATTTATTTGGACTCGACCTTTAAAGACGAAGACAGGTGAAGAGATTACTCAAACGTTTTCAGATATACTAGCACATACAAAACGGTGTCCGAAAAATCTTCAGACTGATCAGGGAACTGAGTTTTACAACTCTAAATTTCAAAGCTTAATGAAAAAACATCATATTAATCACTATAATACGTATAGTACGAAAAAGGCTGCTATGGCTGAAAGAGTGATAAGAACACTCAAAAATAGACTATATAAATATTTTAGTTTAAATGGTACCTACAAATGGATTGACATTTTACCTGAAATTACCAAATCTTACAACCATACCAAACATTCTTTGATACAATGCAAACCTTATGAAGTGAACAAGTCTAACGAGAAAGAGATTTTAAATAAATATTATAGTCATTTAAAAAAAGTCGGTCCACGAAAATTGAAAATTGGAGACATTGTACGCATAAGTAAAGCTAAACATTTGTTTGAAAAAGGTTATACACCTAACTGGACTACTGAATTATTTAAAATAGCTCAAGTTAAAATTACAAATCCCATTACTTACCTATTGGAAGACATGTATGGTGCTCCGATTAAAGGTGCTTTTTATGAAGAAGAATTACAGAAAACTGCTCATCCTGACATTTATCTTGTTGAGAAGGTATTACGTCGTAAAGGTAATAAAATGTATGTTAAATGGCTTGGACTTAAAGATAAGAGTTGGATTAAAAACAGTGATTTATTATAGAAAATTATAAAAAAAAAAACGGATAAATTTCTATAAATTAGAGGCCTTGACCTTTTATGCTAATTTAATTTAGCAGCAACGCTCATTATGGGGTATAAATAAAATCTGAAATTGTCTTTGATTGTTAGTCTTCAACATGTGTTCTCAAGAAGATAGTGAAATCGAAGTAACTTTAACAAATAGTGATAGTGGTGATTCGATAACAATGGAAGAATATGATCATGACTTAAATGAAATTTTAAATAAGTACAAAGAGGCTGCTCAATTAGAAAACCATTACCTATTACATTCAATATTTCTAGCAGGAGGATTTCAAATTGGTTGTGGTATTAGTCCAGCTAGAACATTTAGTCCAGTTATAATTTTAACTCAACCATATAAATTATATAAAATTTCGTTTGGCCTCTACGAATGGAATACGTTTACGGAGATGATTAATCAAAAACTAACTAGTTTTTTCAACGAGCCGCTTGATCAATATCCAGATGAATATGATACAGTTACTTTTCCATGTGGTGATTTCTGTAAAATAACTCAAGTTGTTTACGATTCTACAAAATTTCTTGAAGTATGTAAACATAACGTCAATTTTTACTTAGCTGAAGAAGATGCTATATCCATACTAGATGTGAACACGCAACTTTTATCACATCGAATAAATATGTTAACAAACTTAAATTTTTGTGAATATTACTATTATATTATAGATTTAGTAAAATCATATTTTAAGGATAATAATAATTATAATTACCTAAATGCTCTAAAACTTTTATATGGTTTTTGTGATGGGTCAGGTAATAGTATGTTAAGCAATTCTCTTAGAGAATATATGTATTATTATAAAAATGATGTAATTAAAAAATTAAATGAATAAAGTTTTAAATATAGTTATTAATATTATTTTATTTGAGTAGAATAGTTTTTAAAAAAGGTAGGTTGTATTTATCAGGAAAACAGAAATGAAAATCGTAAATTAATTTAAAATATTTTTTTTTATTTAATAATGTTATATATATATATATACAATATGGAAACAAAGAAGAGTTTTTAAATATAATAGAGAGAAAGTTTGTTTTTAACCCACTACACTAAAATTTTTCAAAATCGTCTTCAGAAATATCAATATCATCATCAGTATCATTAACATCAGTAAACCTTCGTCGTTTGGAGATTTCCTTATCCTCATGTAAATTATTAACGCAATCATCTTTATACTTTATGATGAATAATACTTCAGCGAAACAGCTGTTACACCAAAATGATTTATTTTGATAAACTTTAGTTATTAGAAGATCCGTCCTTCATTCATTATGATAGTGATCTCTTACAGCTATTAGATATTTTTTTAAATATTTATGTGAAAATTTAAAATTATCGAAACATGATTTACATATTTTTATATTATAATTTTTGAGTTTGTAATAATTAACCCACAAACATACACAATCTTCACCTTCTTCAAAAATGTTCTGGTCCTCCCAATCATTGTATGTAAAGGTAAGTAAAGCGTTCCTTTCAGAAGGATAGATAATTTTACTTAAATGAATCAATTTTAAACTTTTTCTTTTACGATTTTGATTGTTTTGAGCTAAATTATTAATGTATAACCATTTATAATTAGGAAATTTTCGAATAATTTCCCTTGTTATTGTCCAAGGTAATGGTGAATATTCAAAAAAATCAGCAGCACTATTACTGTTTTCGCAAATTGCTTTTATTGATAATTCTTTTAATGTTTGCATCTGTAACAAAAATAAAAATACTTAGGGAATTTTATAATGACCCCAAGGAAGAGTATTAAAAGTACCTGGTATTAGATACCGCTTATCGTCTTTAGGACTTAGAGAAATTTTTGTTTGTTCAATGCTAAATACATTATGAGCAAACGATCGAATGCAGCGTTGAGATGTCGTTTGCTCTTTAAAATCGTTTAAGCAATCCACGTAATCATTAAAAGTAATTTTATTTTTTACAACATTGTACTTAACTCCTTTTGATTTTTTAACAATTTTACCACCTTGAACCTTATAAGTATACATTTTTGAACGTAAACCTACGAAATGTGTAATAATTTTGCCTTTAGCTTCATCTTTCATTAATCCTAGAACTTTTTTGTTAACTTGAGGAATATTATAGGGGTTATCTACACAATAATCAGAAGTATCAAATTTTGATAAATCAGCTTTTATAATTTCATTATACGCATCATCACATTGTAATTCATAAATAAAACTATCTGTATCCATGTACATTAATTTACATTTTTCAACACCTAATTTTGGTAACATATGTTTGTAATGAAAATCATACATACATAATTTTGAGAGATCTAAAATTGCCATTCCCACATACAGAGGTTTATTAAAAATAATTTGGGTTTTTTTTAATTCAATAGCTACTAAATCATCATCAAAAATTGTTCGACTATGGAATCTAAAACTTGATATTAAGTTTTTAGCTCCATAACGTCCATTCCAGGAATTAACGAGTTTAACTACGCGATGTTTTCGAATATTTTCCATTGTTTTACCAAACACCGCATTATTAGCTAGTTTATAAAGATTTTTTTCAAAATCATTTGTAGCTGCAGCTCTTAGTTGAGTATTTAACTCAATATAAGGTTTTAACCAAGTTGATTGCTTGAATGTTAAAATTTTATGTATTTTTTTTAACACTAAACCGTTAGCTAAAGCTTGCTTTAAATTACGATAATGTATTGTATATCCTGATTTATCATGAAGTGTAGTCATCAGTTTATTTAACTTTGATCCTGGTGGTTTACGATGTTCAGCAGCAAATGGAAAATCTTTATGTAAATCATGTAATTTACGTGGATATTCCAAATCAACTTGAAGAATGTATCCATCTTCAGAATCATCTGGTATAGTCATAGGATCAAAATTAGTAATATCATCTACCCATCTGAATCCATCGTATGGTAGGGGTTCACACATAGCCCACCCATACAAGTTATTAACATCTAAGTACATTAAGTACTTGGAGGATAATGATGGATCATAATTAGTCTTATATTTATTGTTTGCTTCCGAAAATCGGTTGCTGCAAACAGATATTCCATCTCGAATCGCTTTTTCTATAAACATTATCATGTCCATATCTTTTAAAAGTTGTAACTTACATTTCGTGTATTTAAGCATACAGTCCCAGGTATATCCAGGCATGGTATAATACCATGCTGGATCAAGCCCATACGTATGATGACATTTTTTTCTAAATTGTTCGAAAATATCTGCTAATAGTAGAACATCTGTTTTCAAATATAAGTCTGAGTAGTCCCCTAAATTTTGAATTTCAAAAGTTGACCAAACTTTTTGTGCATGAGCATACTTTTCATCACTAATAATTTCATCATTTAATTTATTATAAAAATGTTTTATTGATGGTAAAGATGTATCTTTTAATCTCTTTAAGTTATTAATATAATCATAGCAAAATACACCCTTGTTAGTTAATAATTTAAATTTATCATCATCTAAATGAGAAAATTCTTTCTTTAAAATTTTCTTTTCTGATATATCTAAAATATTAGACAACTCATCTAGGGAAGCGCCTAAAAACCTAAATGAATCTATGAAACGTAATTTTATATCATTTTCATTGGAATGTAAAGTAAAGGAAATATATTTTTCTTTATTGATGGGAAGTACATTTAAGCGGCCTGTTTTACATAAATTTTTAATCATAAAATGGCTATCATACCCACTTAAATTATGAAATACTACAGGTACAACAAACAATTTCCGATAGTTAAGATTACATGTTTGGTGTGAAAAATCTCTAAATTTTCCTGTAAAGTGATCATGGTCTCTGACAACCATATCATTTTCAGTAAAAGGTTTTTCACAGATATGACATATTTTTGCATTACTAGTACTCGATTTTTCACTCATAGGTATTATTGTTTTTATTTTAGAATTAACAAGTTTTGAAACTTGAATTATTTGATTTACAAACCAATCCATACAATCAGTACCACGGTAGCTTTTGAAAAAAGAAAGATTATCATCGTACGAACATTTCACATAAAAACCTGCACTATATGGTATATGTTTTTGATATTTTACTGTTTTACTTTTATTACCAGATTCAACAAAATTTTTTAATTGACATTCAAAATCAGCATATATAACAAAAGGAGTTGTTTGTTTATATGTAAAATTACGAAACTCAACATGACTTAATTTAGGAGCACTCATTTTATAATTATTTAAATCAGAACATAATTTTTCATGCTCGGTTAACCTTTTTTCACTTGAATAATAATTTAAACATCTATCACAAATAAATTTTTTGTTTGTATTTTTACTTAATTGTTTACTAACTAATCGTGACAAGTCTTTAATCCAGCAGTAATGATATGTTATTTCAGTATTATCAGCATCATCATCCATAGGTGGAGCCTCATAATCATTTAATTTGGGAAAATATTTATTCTGAATTAACAATAAATTTACATGTTTTTCATGCTTAAGTTTCGTTAACCGAGCAGGTACTACCGTGTAAAATGATTTTTCTTTAATTACATTTAATTCTAGTGCATAAACATTAACAGAAATATCATTATTTTTTTCAAATTTGGAAATTTGATGTAATGTCATAGGTGCGTTCAAGTTTTCTGCATGTAGTACAGAACTATAATGTGGATATGAATAAGTTGAATTTAAATTAGTATGAGCAGGATAAAGAGCACTAACAATAGCCCAATAAAAACAGGCGTGGTCAGAATTTCTAATATTAATGCAAGCCTGTTTTTTTAAAATTTGTTCAGGTAGTTTAATGAAAGATGAACCATTACCCATTTCAAATTTATTAATATTAACTTCTAATGAAATAACTTTGTTTAATGCATATCCTGAATCCTTTTCTTGGAATTCAGACAATTTATTTAAAATTTTATCATATACATTTTCTGCAAACCAACATCGTTTATCAGTTGTTGTGTCTATAATAGCATTTTTCGTATTAAAATATTTAAGATCCAAAATTTCATTATCTCCAGACTTTTTTATAAATTCTCCACAAAATGTTGTATTTACTTTAAGTACAGAAAAATCTTTTAGGGTTTTATTAATTTTATTTTTGAACATAATTATGCAATCAGTGAAAAAAGTCTCTAAGTCCTTATGACGCAAATTAATTATTACTCCTGTTTTAATTCGACGTGAAAAAGATGATGCTATGTTTTCCCATTTAACTCTATATTTTAATTTTGAGTTTAACCCCATTCCTATATGTCTAGTTAAAATTAATTTTTTAAAATGTTTAAAGTGTCCAACATTAGTTTGCAGTTTTCTTAAAGTACCTATTGATAAATTATTTCGTTTGCGAATTACATTACTACAAACTCTTATTTGTTTATTTAAGCGTTTTAACCAAATTTGTACATCTCTAGCAGTACATGTATCTAATAAAATTTTTCTTAGTTTTTTAATTGTTAATAAAAAGTTTTCTGAATTTTTAATAATTTTGGAAACGATCATTTTTTATTTTAGTGTAGTGGGTGATTTAACAAAAATATCTACTTACTTTCTCTCTATTAATTTTTCACAATTTCGAATTTGTTTAGAGGATGCTCTTTTCCGATGTCTTTTGTCCCCTTAAACACCACTTTGTAGGTCCCTGTTTGTAGTTCTTTCAATGCACTCTTGGTAAAACTCGTTGTTACTCTTGTAGGTAAAAAGATCTTGGACTCATCCAGCTCTATCAGCACGCTTTCCCCGTACACGGTCTTAACAATTTTTGCCTTTTTTATCGGTTGCGGCTCATTTATCGGTAGATCACTTAATTTCTTGATTGGTTTGTCGTCTTCCGAAAGACCTATGGAATTAATGTTTTTAAATTCCATCTACAATTAAAAAAGAAAAACTTATTGTATGATAAAAGTATAAAAAATAAAACGGTAGAATGATATTTAACTAATAGAATGTGAAATATATTCAACAAAAACCTTTAAAGACAAAAAAAAATTGGTTGGAGGTAGATTTGAAACATATAATCTCATACTGAGTTCAAAAATTTAATTTTCTATCTATAGGAAAATGAAGTAACCTAATTTTTACCATATGTTTAAGAAGAAATGTTGTAGAAACATAGGTTTATGTATCAAAGCTAGAGAACACTAATTTGGTTGTTAAAATCACTTCTATAGTGCTCCCTTTCTCAATCATACGACAAAGATTAGTTTAACTTAGTTTCTTATATGTAAATTAAATTTGTATAAAAATCAATTTTAATAATATGTATAATAATAACTTACTTTTTTTTGTTCTGCAATCACCTAAACTCACTCTAACGAAGTAAATTCAAAACTTTTATTGTACTGCAATGACCTAAACTCGCTCTAACGAAGTAAATTCAAAAGTGAACTCGTATCATTCTAGCTATGTTTATATATAAAAGATATGAATAAATTATCATACATATGGTCGTTATTCTTTAGTAAGTTGGAAAGACCAAAACAAGATAACATCCTTATACATTTTTTTATTATTATAATTAGCTTAGGTTAGCTGGAATCTTAGAAGGTCACAAATAACACGATAAAATTTATATGAATAAATTTAGCATAGTTGTTATTCTTTAGTAATTTGGAAAGTCCAAAACAAGATAACATCCGTATACATATTTTATGATAATTAGCTTGGGTTAGACGAAATCTTTAAAGGTCAAATAACAAGATAATATATATGCAAATCATTTTTATAATTAAGTCGCATCTAATCTGAGAAAGGTCATAAAAACAGGATGTTGATATGATGGTAAGGTTACACAAGAATATCAGTTTCTTTCATCATTTTAATTCATTGGCAAATACAGAGGGTTTTTTATTTACATGAAAATGGAAAAATAGAATTAATGAAAAGTATAATAGAATAAGACCTTTTATTGCTCATTACTAAAGAAGATGTTGACGAATACAGTCGTATTTACTTTGTTACTTATTATTATCAAATCATTAATATCCGCTAAAAATATAACAACTAAAGAAGAAGTTATAGATTATTTACAGCATTTTGGATATATAAATGAAAGTAAAAATGCAATAACTGATTTTGAAAATGATTTAGTACAATTTCAAGAAATGTATAATCTTCCAGTTGATGGAACACTTAACAAACCAACCATGCTCTTAATAAATAAACCGAGATGTTCTTTTAGTGAAAATGCATTTACTATAAAATCTAAATGGAATAAGAAACATTTAAAGTGGTACTTTCCTCAAGCGCAAAATTATAAAATATATCTTGATATAGCTAAAAAGGCTTTTGAACTATGGACACAAAATACTACTCTAACCTTCGAAAATGTACGTATACCTAATCCACCTCCAGATATTACGATTCTTATTACACAGAGGGTTCACGATACTCGCTATAACTGTCAAGGAATCGGCTCATGTAATTTTTTTTTTGATGGCCAGGGAGGAGAGCTAGCACATGCATTTTTTCCTAATAGGAATAATAGCTGTATCGAGATTCATATTGATAGAGAAGAACCATGGTATATTGAAGTTGATGATAAAGTGCCTGATGATCAAACTAATCTATTTATGGTGATGGTTCATGAAATTGGGCATTCTCTCGGATTATCTCACAGCAGTAATAAAAATGCCATTATGTTTCCCTGGTACCAAGAAGAAAATAGACAGCTTCATGAAGATGATATAATGGGAATTGAATCCTTATATGGAAGACGTGAAAAATATGCTAAAATTCCTGAATATGTTCTAAATAAAATGTCTACAGCTACAACAACAGCAAAAACAACAGCAAAAACAACAACAACAACAACAACAACAGCATCAACTAAAAAATCAAGTACAACTAAAAAACCTCTGAAATCTATTCATACCACCACGATGATAATACCTAGTATTAAAAAATCAATTCAAGAATTCTCTACAAATTTATGTAATATTCAAATACCTAATGTCATGTTTATTGCAACTGCACCTACATTTCCTAACTATCGATTGTATATAGCTTATAACACCTTCTTGTGGAAATTAGATTTAAATGATATGCATATTCCACTCACACCAGAACTTATTACAGATTACCTTCCTAATGAGCTTAAATCATACAATATTTCACATATCTTTCAAAACTCTGTTGGAGACTTGATAACAATCAATAATCGAATGTTGTATGCAGTATCTTTTCCAAATTTAAACATACAACATAGTTTTAAGTTTCCAATTAATATTAAAACTATAAATGCTTTATTTCAAACAAACAGCGGACAGACATATCTATTGTACAACAACAATTCCTACATTGAATTTAATGAAACTGGGGATATACTAAATCGTGGACCAACAAAGGATCTATTTCCTGGAATTCCTGAAGATGTAAGTTCCGCGTTTCGTTATATAGATGGTTATATCTATTTTTTCTATCGAAATTCCTATTACAAATTCAGTGAATACACAAGAAAAGTTGTAGAAGCAGGACCTTTTAGCTGGAATCTTTTTGGTATATCATGTCCTGATGATAACTTATTGAAACAATTAAAAACCATGTTAGCAAAAGTAATATCTTTATATAATTAATAAAACATAAAATATAATATTTTTTTTTTATTCTTGCTTAAAATACCTATTGTTGATATACGATCGTATATTATAATAAAAATATTTCAACTCAAACATATTTGTTAATTAAATATGATTACGCAAACTTGTTCTAAGTGATCTCGTGATACCACATCTATTTCTTTCGATCACATTACATTACTACGTTACATCATACGTCACTACGTCACGTCAATACTGCGCATGATTTTTCTCTTTAACGTTAATCTACGTCACTTCTCCCTCACAACGCCGTTTGTTGCATGTAAATCGGATCAATAGCAACGAAGATATTGACTTAGGCCCTTCTGGCGTTGCTATTGCGCATGATTTTTCTCTTTAACGTTAACCTACGCCACTTCTCCCCCACAACGCCGTTTGTTGCATGTAAATCGGACCAATAGCAACGAAGATATGGACTTAGGCCCTTCTGGCTTTGCTATTGCGCATGATTTTTCTCTTTAACGTTAACCTACGCCACTTTTCCCTCACAACGCCGTTTGTTGCATGTAAATCGGACCAATAGCAACGAAGATATGGATTTAGGCCCTTCTGGCTTTGCTACTACGCGTATTTTTACTCTTTAACGTTAACCTACGTCACCCACCTACGTCACGTAAGATTATATACACATCTATCTCTCTCGATCGCATTGCTATGGCAATGGCAGGGGACCTCTCTCTCTAACACATTGAATTCCCTATATATATCGCCGTACAAACTTTGCTTATCTACTATCGCTCATACGAGTTTGGCAGAAATAATGTATCCACATTTCAAAGCATGGTACGAAACATCCAAGACTGTCTTGAGCTATGCGAACTCCAGAATGGTGGGCATATAAAACATATCATTGGCTATTACAATATGCACTAACTTTGTCATTTTTGTTAAATCTGTTAATATTACGACTATGAATACTAGAGATAAGGAGGCGAATCGGCATAGGGTAAAGTACGGATAGTTGCCCCGGTGGGATAGTTGCCTCTCTTTGCACAACTCCATGACGAAATCATCTGCCGCGGTAACAACAACTGGCAACCTATAGTGCCCCGAATACCTTCACGTCTCAGTATCAAAGCGACCTTGGTGAAACGTGCATGCCCATTTTATCAGGATTTATGAAACTACGTTGTGTAAAAATTAGTGGATTTTTTACAGTTCGAGTAGTCTGCTAGATTACGAAGAATCTTTGAGGTGAGATAATGTTTTTAGAGTTTTTTTTGGTAAAATACCTTTCAAATTTGTGCAATACAGCATTATCTAAACCTAATTCTCTAAGAGGTTATAAAATCGAAGCGAGGCATCTATCCGTACCAAAAAGTATAGTTGCCCCAGTTCAACGCCCGGATAGATGCTCATAGAGGATAAATGCCCAAAAATGGTTTTGTACGGGTACGGATAGATGACTTTGCTCATATTTTGTAAGTGCAGTCATTTAGTACTTAATAATTGATTTTTTTGTTACAGGATGCCGAGACGTTACATACGAAAACGGGGAGCTCCTGAAAAAGC